ATATACATACATATCACTAAAAGTGAAGATTGTCAAATTTAAAAAGCATCAGTTAGGACTCCCATTTTCCGAGATGAACTTAAATAGAGAATCATTGTTTCCATTGTTCCACCGTGGATCATCTCTCACTGAAGACGCTGGTAGCCTTTGCTGTTCAAAGGCCTTGGGTGGGGGACTGGAGAGTATGGAGTTTATTTGTGGAAATTTTATAGTAAGAGGAGGAGTCTATGAAATTTTCTCAGATTGCAGATGAAAAGTATGTTTCTATGTGAAGGCACAGATTTCACAATTAGGTTATATTTCTTATTCCTAAATGGTAAAAGCAAGAATTATCACTAGAAGAGGCTACAATTCAGATAGGAAAAAAAAAAAACCTTATAAAACAGAAAACTCTTCTCAAATCTTGTGAGGAAATTTTAACCATTCAGAAAACTACACAAATAAAACAGTTTAGTAGGAAGTGGATGCAAGGAGAGGAGGAGTCCAAGGTCATCCTAACACAATAAATTTGAGACCAGCTTAGCCTCCAAGATAACAAACAAACAAACAAAGAAAAAACCCCAAGAGAAAATAAAGAATTCAGTAGAATTATATTTCTTGATAGTGGTGCTTTCCTTTAAGAATTATTTGATCTAACTCAGCAATAGCTATAAATATTTTCCTCTAAACCTGAGGCTCTAAGTGTTAGGAGTTGGCCTCCCTCTTCATCGCTGGCACTTCTCTGAGTGGCAGTGATTTGAAACATGAGGTAAGATTCCTGGCTGAGATGGATGAGGTTAAACCGGGAATTACTTCCAAAGACAGAAAGACATCAAGGCACCAACGTCATCCAAACAGCTGGAGTTATTTATTGGTGAGGGAGTTGGAAAGGATGCAGTAGACACGTGTGAGTTTGAGAGGCTGGGGTGGCACAGGATCTGGTGATGGGGGGGGGGGTTGATTCAGGACAGAGTGTGAGGGAGATTAGGAGCCAGATGAAAGAGTTTTCTTTAACACCTAACGGGGCTGAGTCCTTCAGAGACACACACTTGAGTTTCCTCGGAGACTTACGTGGCAGATTCATATACTATCCTCAAATCAAGTGCCCTACTTAAATACCTGTGCAGCACAGGGACCTGGATATGGATCCTACAGAGAGACACCATGCACGGTTTTGAGACTTTAACTGGCTGGTTTAGCATAGCTCCCCTTCTTCCCCTTCGTCCCCCTAACAAGCAGTGATGGGCACTGTAACATGCCGAATACTGTGCTGACCTCGGGGATAAAATGATAGATAATAAATGCAGGGTTGGAACTGATATGACAACAGCATGAAGGTTACATCAGAGAGAAATCACTTGTCAGATAAAGAGGGACGTGTCTGATAGAACCATGACTCCTCCAAGAACTAGAATTTAGATGCGGGAGGTAAGCTAGAATAAATTGAGAAAGAAGTAAATATTAATTAATGTTTTAATTAATAATTTTAATTAATAAAAGACAGCTAAAAATTACAGCTACTGCTTATCAAGTACTTTGTATGTAAATATACTTGTTTAAAGTTAGGTTATGCTGACTTACATACCCTTTAAAAATTACTTATTTATTTACTTCATTAATTTATTGAGTCAGAGCTTCTCTGTGTGGTCCTTGCTGTCCTAGAACTTGTTCTATAGACTTGGATGACCTCAAACTAGGAGATTTGCTTGCCTCTACTTCCTGAGTACCTGAACTAAAGGTATATGCCATTGCTGTCTGCCTATTTTCAATCATGTGTATATGTGTATTTGAGTGTGAGTGCATGAGGGTTCATAAGAGGGCATTGATACCCCAGAGCTGGGCACCAGTATCTGGTCCTCTGAAAGAGCAGCTTGTGCTATTAGCTGCTGACTCTATTCCCATCCTGGATTAATATAATCTTTTTGTTTTGGTTTGGTTTTATTTGGTTTTCAAGACATGATTTTTTTTTTTTTTTTGTATAGCCTTGACTGTCCTAGAACTTCCTCTGTAGACCAGACCAGGCTGGCTTTGAACTCACAGAGAGCTGCCTGTTTCTTCCTGCCAAGTGCTGGGATTAAAGGCATGTACCACCACTGCTTGGCTCAGATTAATATAATCTTAGATAAATATGTTATAGTTTATTGGGAGAGAAAGTTGAGGACGATTCCATGTGATACAACTGTGAAGGAGTTAACTTGCCACAAACATGCATCATCTCGGAAGAGGAAACTTCAGTTGAGGAACTGTTTCCATTGGATTGGCCTGGGGGCATGTCTGAGGTACTTTTTTTTCATTAATGATCATGTGGGAGGCCCCAGACCTCTGGGTCATATAAGAAAGAGGGGGAGTGGGGGTGAGGGGGGGTGGGGAGGTGAGGGGGCAGGAAGAGTGGCAGGAGAGGAGGGAGAGGGAACTGAGACAGTCTATAAAATAAAAAAAAGATTATTAAAAAAAAGAAAGAAAGAAAGCAGGCTGAGCAAGACAGGAGGAACAACACTGGGCAGGACTCCTCTGTGTTTCTGCTTCAGGTCCTGCCTCCAGGCTCCTGTTTGGGTTCTTTCCTTTATGCCACTAAATGGCTTCCTGTGATGTAGAAGTGAGCCCTTTCCTCTGGAAGTTGCTTTGGGGCATGACGTCTATCACAGCAACAGAAAGCGACTAGAACACGTCACAGCAATTACTGAATGTTTATTTAGGACATTGGACAAGGTCTGTTAAGTGTTGCCTCATTATCAGGTCAGGCACAATAAGGTATTGATTGGATTGGTACTGAAAGGCCAGAAAGAAGGCAGTAATTTAAATGGAAACTATTTCATAATCCATTCATTCATTAATTCATGCAACATTGTTGAGGCAGTCTTTGCCAGGCTCTAGGCTGGGTTTGAGAAGTCAGGCATCTCCTGATGTCATGGCTTGGATAAATGTCCCACAGATGCTTATGTGCTCCTGGAATGGTTGGGAGATGATAAAATCATTAAAATTACCAGCCTCTTCCTTGGGAGCCATTGGCAGATGGTGGATACTAGTTAAGGAGGACTCATTGTGTTCAGTGATGGTGCCATTAGTGAGTTAGTCATGCTTGAGAGATGGTTCCACACCCATGCATAAGTGGTGGCCCTGGCTAAACTCAGTGGGTCACAAAACAAAGTCAAAACCAAAAAAGACATGATAGTGGGAAGAGGATAAGAAAGTGGGAAGGAGGATAAGAAAGAGTTGGGATACTGAGTGTGACCAGAACATATTGCATACATGCATGGCATTGTCAAAGAATTATTTGGAAGAATGGATGAAGAAAGTATGGAATATATACATATTAGAGTACTACTCAGCAGTAAAAAACAAGGACTTCTTGAAGTTTGCAGGCAAATGGATGGAAATAGAAAACACCATCCTGAGTGAGGTAAGCCAGACCCAAAAAGAGGAACATGGGATGTTCTCACTCATATTTGGTTTCTAGCCATAAATAAAGGACATTGAACCTATAATTCGGGTTCTTAGAGAAGCTAAATAAGAAGGAGAACCCAAAGAAAATCATATAGGCATCCTCCTGAATATTAAACTTCATCAGGCGATGAAAGGAGACAGAGACAGAGACCCACAATGGAGCACCAGACTGAAATCTCAAGGTCCAAATCAGGAGCAGAAGGAGAGAGAGCACAAGCAAGGAACTCAGGACCGCGAGGGGTGCACCCATACAATGAGACAATGGGGATGTTCTATCAGGAACTCACCAAGGCCAGCTGGCCTGGGTCTGAAAAAGCCTGGGTCAAAACTGGTCTCGCTGAACATAGCGGGACAAGGAGGACTACTGAGACCTCAAGAACAATGGCAACGGGTTTTTGATTCTACTGGACCTATTGGTTTCGTGAGAGCCTAGGCAGTTTCGTGGATGCTCACCTTACTAGACCTGGATGGAGGTGGGTGGTCCTTGGACTTCCCACCGGGCAGAGAACCCTGATTGCTTTTTGGGCTGACGAGGGAGGGGGACTTGATTGGGGGAGGGGAGGGAAAGGGGAGGCGGCGGTGGGGAAGAGACAGAAATCTTTAATAAATAAATAAATTAATTAAAAAAATCAAGAAACCATGAAAAAAAAAGAGGCAAAGCATAGCAAAAAGTAGTTGGGTCACTGAGTCATGTTTTGAGGGTGATATTGGGAACCTGCTATTTTTGTGTCTTCTGACACACACAAGGCACAGACATCTTCTGGCATAAACTCTCACCATGATGTAGCGTTATCTACAGCAAAAAGACCAAGGTTAAAGGGGATAGGTATATACCATTTTAAAAGGACACACTCACTCTTGATAGTGTAGAAAGGATGACAAATGGACATTGTAAATAGTTAAGGACGCACATACTGTTTGCTAATGGTTGGTTTGTTCTGAGTTAATCCCCAGCCTAGGCGACACTGTCAGGGTTGGCATGCAGAAATTTGGGCTTAAGCATACCTAGCCACAGCAACGGATGACAGTGAGGAGAAAGTGTGGTAGGTGTAAGGGGAGGGGCAGCTGACACCATGAGTCTCAGAGAAAAGGCTGACCACTTTGTCCTGCAAGATGTGGATCTCCCCCAAGAACCAAGAGGCCATACCCAGGTCAAGACCGGTGGACAGCAATAGCTGGGGCTGCTGGGAAATGGAGAACTTCCTACCCTTGTGGGCCTGACCTGGAGTCAAATTCAGTCATCACCCTAGGCCCACATCTCTCTTGGGAGATGTCACAAGTGGTTTTTAAAATCTTGGTCCTTTTCTTCTTCAGAACTTCAACTGTGCGAATGATAATGATAAGCTTTTGTTTATGTTTTCTTTTCATACATATATACACATATGTATATATACACACACACACAGATATATTGCCATTTAGTACCTGTGTGCTTTTTTCTTTTTATTGTTTTCTGATACCATGATTAATGTTGTTTTATCTTCCAGTTCATGAATTCTTCTGCCTGCTCCATTCTACTGCTGAGCATATATATCAGATGTTCAAATTTGGATTATTGTATTTTTTTTATGACAACTTCTTTTGCTTCCTTGTGTATTCCTGCTTCTTCATTGGCTTTGTGTGTTTTATGCAAGTGCACCTGTGTGCTGGGAGCAGTGAGACCCCAGATCCTGAATTTCTTGTAATCCCCTGATCTGAGTGCCTACAGCTGCTCTGAGCACGAGACCTGCACGAGTTCCTGATGGCAGGAGAGTGGTTTCTGGTGGGTTTGGCCAGGGCGTGGCTATCTCTATATAATTTGCCTCTGAACACAATAAAGGGGGCATTCTTGGGGAATTCAAGGATGACCCGTGTTGCTGTCTCTCTGTTTGTGTGTGTTTGTGTATTTTAACCTCCAGCCCCCTTGCCCGAAGCTTGGGAACTGGGTGCCAGCGCACCGAGTGCAGACATGGGGGCGCGGTGTGCGGCAATTGGAGGTCTCCACAGAGACATCGGCATTTGGAGGTCTCCACCGAGATATCGGGAACGCAGCACCTGTGGTTGTTCATGAATGTACTTGGAGTAAACAATCCTGACATGAGGTAAGGAAAAAAACGAAAATTACAATAGTTTTGATCAATCACTATAGAATATTTAAAGAGCACCCCCAAATAAATAAATAAACTTGAGAGCCTACTTGCAGTAGAAAATGAAAATTTTTAATTTTCAAATATCTACAGAGGTTTGTCAATTTTGTAGTTTAACAAATGTCCTTTTTCCTACCCCCAATTTCTATTTTAAGAGAGAGAGACACAATCTAGGCTCACACAGCTAGTGAGTGGTAAAACTTCAAGAAAATCTGGGAATTTATGGCTTCAAAATCTGTGCTTCTGTTAGGAGGTCGCGGAACATGGTGGGCAGATATTAGCCTGATGATGCTGTTGGAAGAGGTCACAGAAAAATTAAGGAGGAGACAGAAATCTCTCATCAAAAGAAGAGAGATCAGACATCTGCCAACTTAAGTAGCAACGTGTTAATATTTTCTTCTTAGATTTCTTATTATTGTGTTGATAATAAGATTCATGTTACAGGCGTCTGTTAAGGACAAATGGATATGAATCTACAAAGTATTTAGACTAGTGCAAATACCTAGGCATGGCTAGGTTTCTTATCATTTAATGTCTTCTAACAATATTAACTGCAACTTCTCAACTGTAACTTTCTATTCAGCAGAAAGAACCAAAATAAGATCATGGTAAATAAGCATCTCATGAGAGGAGAGGTTTTTCCAAAGAGATACTGGAAAGATATAACTGCATTTGTTTGTATATGCAAAAATTTCTGAATGAATAACAAGGAAGCTTATTTATAAATTTATTATATTTTTATTGATTTATTTTTTGTGTGTGTGCACACTCATGTACATGTGCACATATGATACAGCGTGTGTGTGTGTGAAATCATTGTAGGAGTTGGTTCTTCTACCAGGTAGGTCCCAGGGTCCAAACCATGATCTATTGGCTAGGCAGCAAGCTAACTTATCCATAGGGATATCTTGCCTGCTCTCCATAGGAAGGGTGTAGCGGTGCTGGTAGTGTGCTTACACATCTCCACAGATCAGACCATGGGTGGAGTTTTGCTAGTACTATTGTACACTTGGATCTATGAATGTGCTACTGAACCAAATATTTGTAAGAGAAAAGAAAAGTGGAATAAGCAGCCAGAAGTGTTTTTCAGTCTCCCTTGGGGGTCATTTTACTCACGGGTGAGAGAGATCTGCTCACCTTTAATGTCTCTGTGAAGTGATTGTCAAAGCATGGTGGTGGTGGGGGCATCTCTATTTTACCAGCTTTCATTCAGGGACTACATGCTAAGTTCCAATCAGAACGATTGTGTTTAGTTAGTCAAATGCGAGGAAAGTTGTGCTTAGCTGTATGCTTTGTCTTCTTTCTGCCCACTGGAATACTTTGTATTAATTTGAGCTTTGGTTTGATCCCAAATCTCTGGGATAACATTGAAAAGATCGCACTGGCAGTATGAAAATGCCAGTTGTGGTCTTTTGATTGATGAGTTTGGAGTAACCTATTGACTCACATTGACATCGTCCAAAGGCCAAGGGTACTGGTCAGCTCTCCTTTGTCAAAGAGATGGATTGCCCAATACTATCTAAAAGCTCCAGGCTTATGTGGAAAGTCTGAACAACAGGCTTGCTTACCTTTTTTTTTTTTAGCTTGACTTCTGTCCCAATTTGCAATCCTGTTTTAGATTTCAGTTTTAGTTCATTGACCTCTTGCCTACTGCTGTTCCCATGAACTATGCTCTTATCGTTAAATTTGATATTTACTTTCCGAAGTTCAGAATGCTCTCTCCTTTCCTTTGGGTTTCTGACAGCTTTTGAGAATTAGTTCATTTCCCCAAAGAGAAGGTGTTCTAATTTCATTGTTATCATGGAGTTTCCTACATAGTTAATTCAGCATTAAATGTTATTGCCTTCACAACAGTGGCAATACCACATGAAAGAGAAGGGTCCTGTGTGACTGTCACAAAGTCAAACTTGTGAACTTTAAAATAAAGAGGAATTATAAAGATATATTTATATTATTTGTATTTTAATTGGGAAAAGTTTATCAAGTTTGATAAAACATAGGTATTAAAAAGCATTGTTTATCTGGAGACTACAGAGTTGGCTTCATGGTTAGAGCACTGGCTGCTCTTTCACAGGATCAGGGTTCAATTCCCAGAACCTACTTGTTGGTTCACAGCCACCTGTAACTCCAGTTCTAGGGGATCTGACACCCTCTTCTGGTCTCTCTCCCAAATTGATCACTCGGTACCACATCACTTGGAAAAGACTCCTGTGCCCAGCATCCTCTCGGTCACATTTATATTGATAGGAAACCCTACCTGGGGAGTATCCCAAATATTTATCATGTCTTGTTCCCTGAAATTTAAGCAATATTTAAAAGCACAGAGAAGCAATTGCAGAATACTTTTCACTTCAGAATGTTGGTAGACTAGTAAATATAATGTTTAAAAGCATTAAAGCAAAAACATATGACATGGGAATGCAAAAGAGCATAATCATAGGATAAAACCATTTTTATCTCCAAAAAATTTCTATTGAGCTATATCCCAGTCCTTTTCTTTTACATTTTATTTTTCAGGCAGGGTCTAAGTTGCCTAGAATGACCTTGAACTTGTAATTCATGGCAATAAAACATATTCACAGCATGCAGAGGGGAATCCCACATCACTCCCTTTTCTAAATAAAAGGAAGGTTTTTAACATTAAAATAGAAATATTACATATAACAAAACAGTTATTAAGCAAGAATTATAGTTACAATATTTAGACCATTTACATTTGGCAAGTTAAAGAAAATATCATATATCCTATCTTTGTGGTCTAAAGTTTTATTTCTAATCTTTCTTTTATGATTATAACTATCTTTCTTCAACTCCATCAAAGACTCCAGAAGTAATAATATTACCTAAGTAAACAGGAAGCATATTGTAAGCAACTTTCAAAACTCTAGAATTGACAGAGACATCTCACTGCCTGGACAGTCACCCAAAGTTCTTCTGCAACTTTGGGGTATCCAATTTTAACCTACACACCAATAGTATCTGGGAGACTTTTCCATGAAGCAGGAAATTTGAAGATCTCTTATGCTTTGTACTGGCAATACCACTTTTGGTATCCAAAGGGTGCTCAATCGTACCACAAAGACATGTGCTCAACTATGTTCATAACAGTCATAGCCAGAATCTGGAAACAACCTAAATGATCCTCTTTTACACAGATAATAAACGGGTTGAGAAAGAAATCAGAGAAACATCACCCTTCACAATAGTGACAAATGCTCCTCCATTGCTGGTGGGAGTGCAAACTTGTACAGTGGCTTTGGAAATCAGCATGGAGATTTCTACATCATACCACAATCATACCACAAAGATGTGATGTGGTATTTCTGGGTCTTGAAGTAGGTTGTTGCCTAATTTTCTGAGAAATCGTCATACTGGTATCCAAAGGGGATGAACCAGTTTGCACTCCACTAGCAATGAAGGAGTTTTCCTTTTAGCCCATATCCTCTCTAGCATAAGCTGTCATCAGTGTTTTTGATCTTGGCCATTCTGACAGATGTAAGATGGAATCTCAGAATTGTTTTGATTTGCATTTCTCTGATGACTAAGGATGTTGAGCATTTTCTTAAGTATCTTTCAGCCTTTTGAAATTTGTCTTTTGAGAGTTCTCTGTTTAGGTTTGTACCCCATTTTTTTTATTGGATTATTTGTTATTTTGATGTCAAGTTTCTTGAGTTCTTTGTATATTTTGAAGATCAGTCCTCTGATGTGGGGTTAGTGAAGTTCTTTTTCCATTCTGTAGGCTGCCATTTTGTCTTGTTGACTGTATCCTTTGCTTTACAGAAGCTTCTTAGTTTCAGGGGGTCCCATTTATTGTTTCTCTCAGTGTCTGTGCTACTGGGGTTCTATTTAGGAAGTGGTCTCCTGTGCCAATGCGTTCAAGTGTACTTCCCACTTTCTCTTCTATAAAGCTAAGTGTGGTTTGTTAAGGTCTTTGATCCATTTGGACTTGAGTTTTGTGTATGGTGATAGATATGGATCTATTTTCATTCTTCTGCATGCTGATATCCAGTTATGCCAGCACTATTTGTTGAATATGCTTTCTTTTTTTTACATTTTATATTTTTAGCTTCTTTGTCAAAAACCAGGTGTTTGTAGGTGTGTGGATTATATCCAGGTCTTCTATTTGATCCAATGGTCCTCTTTTCTGTTTTTATGCCAATACCAGGCTGTTTACATTACTGTAGTTCTATAATAGTGTTTGAAGTCCAGGATTGTATTGCATCTAGAAGTTCTTTGATTGTACAGATTGTTTTGGCTATCCTGCATTCTTTTTTTTTTCATATGAGTTGGTATTGTTCTTTCAAGGTCTGTATATTTTTGAACCAGTTTTCCTATGTAACCCTGGCAGTTTTGGAATTCACTATCTAGACCAGGCTGGCCTTGAACTCACAGGAACTACTTGTCTCTGCCTCCTGTGTGCTGGGATTAAAGATTTGCACCAGAACACCTGGCTTCTTGGGAACCTTATTTAGCATCTTAATAAAGATTTAAAGTCTGCACATGAGACCCCTTTCATCTAGGTTCCATGCAGCTCTAAATTCTTTCTCAGTTTTCTTACCTGGATGTTTTTTTTTATTGTGCTAAACAAAGTATATGAAAAACTAAAATTATTTTGGGGCATAGACTATGGTCATCATAAACCTTACTAGTTGTGTACTTTTAGGAAGAGGCAGAGAAAACCAGTGTTCCCAGATTATCCCATTATAATTAGAGAAATTTCTTAACATGGCAAGAAGGTGCATTTTATCCTGGCAAAGGTTGAACCATTTCCTGTTTTCTCTTATTCCCACATCTCAACTCTGGGGTTCTATCATGTGTGTACCTTTTGCTTGTTTATTTTAAACAGAGCAAGTTTGTCCCTCTAGCCTGCAAGGCTTTCAGAACTCTGCTCAGTATTCCAACCTCTTTTCAACAAGAGACAAAACTCTCCAGACAAGTGAGCTGAACACCAGGGCTCATTTTCTTCCCATGATTAGTTAGTACTCAGAGACAATGTTCTGAGTGAAGCATAAATTTGTCCGCCTAAGCCTCACTCACACTGTTTCTTTTCCAGATCCTCAAGAGCATGTTTTGAAGAAATACATTGATTCAATGTAAACATCTACTCTGGGCTGGAGGAGAGATTTCTCAGTGGTTAAGGTTAAGAACATATGCAGCTTGTTGCTCCAGAGGATCCTAGTCTGATTCCCATCATCCATATAGGGAAGAGGCCCACCACTGTCATGAACTCCAGCTCCAAGGGCTTCAGCACTGTCTTCTGGCCTCTGAAGGCCCCTGAACATACATGTGACTGTACTCCACCCTACCACACAACTGAAAATTAACATTAAATGTTCAAAAAACCCACCATGGTCTGGACCATTTTTTTGAACACACTGCTCTGATAGATGTCTGTGAGCTATAGACACTTTACTGAGCCATGCTCTCCATCTCTTGGCATCTGTCAGGGTAGAAAGCTGAAGGCAGAGTCTGTCTAAGGATTTATAATTTCAAAGTATTTGTGAAAGGAAGCTTATTTAATTTAATTTAATTAATATGCACACTTCAATAATAGTTTAATAGCAACTTATAGTGTCTTAAATAAACTGATGTACTTAAAAGAGTGAACAGACACTTTGGTGAACCTCTGAGTTTCTGCTATAGTGAAGAAAGACCAAGTGTTAAAGAGGGTAGAAAGTTTTAGAGGCTCCAGGTTCAGTTCTTGGTTGGTTGCTTATCCATATATCCTTGGGAGAATCGTTTGATCTTGGGAGAATAGTTTCTTCATTTGTAGAATAGAAAGGAAATATTGTTTAGAACTTCAAAAATTGAAAATACAGTTGTCCTTCAGTGTCTGCAGATGTTCAAGTCTTTGATGTAACAAAGTTTATAGAGAGCCTCCTATATGATTTAAGTCATTCCTAGATTACTCATGGTGCCTGACACAAGGCAAGTATGACATGAAATGTTTTCTGCATGTATTGTTTAGGAAATGATAACTAAGGTAAGCTTGTGTGATTTTAGCACTTTTCTAAATATTTTTGACCTGTGGTTGGTTGGATTCATGGATGGGGTAAACTGAGGCAGTGGCTACTATGGCTTTGCGGAGAACCACCCAGTACTAAAATGTTCCTCTTGGGACAGAATATTATGAGGTTGAGATGTTTCAATTTGGGGGTAGTTACTGTACCACATGATATGAGTTTGGTAGCATACTTTTCAGGAGGCACATCTGGGGTCAGCCATTGGCAGAGCCAACCAAACATGTAACACACAGTTGTGTTTGACTGTTGGACCTTGACCATTCTGATATTGTGAGGAGTTAGCCTGTAATAGGCAGTCAGGGGCTAGGGCTGAGGGAAAGGTTACATTCTCATATAGAAGCTGGAATGGAAAGAGAGCTAAACCCCCACCTGGACTGGGGTTCAACCTCAAGATCTATCCAGACTGAGATGCAGTAGTGGGAGAAAGAGAACATCAAAGAGGGAAAGGGTCCAGGAGCCCTAATAAAAGACCAACTTAGAGGCCACTCTGTCCCAGAGGATGCTTCCTACTTTCAATAATTGCTTACTTCCATTCTCTCACAGTCTTTCTTTGTTCCTCGGTGTCCATTTCTTTGTTCACTGTTCAAAATGTCCTGAACTCCTAGACTGCTCTTGGCTCAAGACTTCAGTCCTTAGACAGTCAACCCTATGTGTAAGACTTGCTGTTGAAATACCACTATTTACTTTGTTAACTGCTAAATGGCATCCGGACATTACAAAGGAAAAATGTGGGGCTGGGGAGATGGCTCAGTGGGAAGAATACTTTCTGCTTAAGCATGAAGATCTGAGTTCAAATCCCCAGAACCCATGTAAAGAACCAGGTCTAGTCATGTACCTGTAACCCCAGCACCATGAGCATCAGAAATAGGAGGCTGTTCGGTTCTGTTGACTGCTTGCTTAGCTCAAGGGTGCTGAGAACTGACTGACTCAAAAGAATAAGGAAAAAAGTGAAATATGAGCATACCTGATGTTTTATTCTGGCTCTCCTGAGTGAATGGCATGTGGATATGCACACACACACACACACGTACAACACTTGTACATACACATACACACACACCACACTCACACATAAACACACATCACATTTACAACCACATACATACCCACATATTAATAAAAACATGTTATGTATAAAGCCTCACCTTGTGTTCTTTAAACATTTAGAGTAGTTATGGTAGAAAAAGAAAGAGAAAAAGAAAGAAAACAGAAGAGGCATCAATCTTTTGAGTTGTATAAAAGAAGTATGGAGAAGATGCATTACTGAACTTCTGAAATATAGAGGATTTTGGCCTAAGTCTAAGTGTTTGTCTGAGTCAAAACAATGGATGGGAGAAAAGTGGTTAAGTATACTTGGACCCGTTTGTAGCTTCCTTTGATATGGAAGGATTTTCAAAGATCAAAAGGCAGGCGGGCTGATTCATTCAGGTAGTTTTCCTGGAATATTTGAAAGAGGTAAACAAAGTCCCACTTGATATTTTGGTGGAGTCCAGCAATGGAAAACAAAACCTGTAATAGTGAGTGTCTGCATCCTGGAGTAGAGTTAGACAGAAGTGAAAAAAGATGAGCAAACAAACAATGCCATAGTTTGAGTATGAAATGTCTCTTGATGGAGATGCTCTTTTAGGAAGTATCTTAGTCTGCTTTCTATTGGTGTGATAAAATACCACGAACAAAAGTAACTTGGGGAGGAAAAGGGCTTGTTTCTGTTTACAACTTACAGTCTATCATGAATGGAATTCAAGGCAAGAATTTGCAAGCAGAGTCTGTGGAAGAATGCTGCTTACTGGCTTGTTCCCTGTGGCTTGTTCTTCCTACTTTCTTATACAACTCAGGACATATGTACCACTCACAGTGGGCTGAGCCCTCCCGCATCAGTCATTAATTAAGAAATCCCCCAGTGGTTGACCTACAGGACAATCTGATGGAGGTATTGTCTTAATTGGCTCTGGCTGTATCAAGGTGATAGAAAATCTAACCATCATTGGAGATTATAGAGGCCTTGGGAAATGGGGTTTAGCTGGCAGACGTAGACTGTAAGCCTGGGCCTTGAAGGATATAGCTTAGCCTTGCTTCCAGTCCTGATCTCTACTTCCTGGGTGGTCACAATATGAACAAGCCACAAGCTCCTACTATTGTAGACTGAGCACCCATGCCATACCATGCCCACCATGATGGACTGAGTTCACTGAAACCACAAGCCAAAACAAATCCTTTATCTATGTATAATATGTATGTCCTGGACCTAGATTATATGTATAATAGGGATGCTGCAGGCATTTTGTTAAAAAAAAGTATTATCCCACCTGCCTCAGGTATTAAGTTTGAAGCCTGGGAGAAGGCATAGGATTGTTTTGTAACTCTCAAGACAAGGCGATTGGCTAAAGGCTAACACTGTAAAACTTCTCCTTGCTACCGGACAGTGACCTCTCTTGGCCTCCTGTTCATTAAGTAATCTGAAACATTGTGATATTACTCTTTTAAGTCTCCTAAGAGGGAAGATGAGGGCATAAAATTGGTTCTACATTAAACACAAATCTTTTTGTAAGGATGACATAGTTTTTCTTTTACTCCTTGAATAGAGGAATTAACTTCTGTGCATTAGTGAAGCTTGTTTCCTCCCCTTCCCACAGAGCTCACCTGTGGCTTCCCTGAGAATAGGATTGTAGATCTGCTGGGGTAAGAACAAAACATCTCCACAGATTGGGTGGAGCTCAGAAGAAAAGGCAGTTTAGGGTAAATTCTTTTGAATTTATAATTAAAAATGAGTACTAGGCAGGGACAGGGTGAGGAGGTAGTTAACTGGGGAAGAGGCAAGATAAAGTTTAGAGGCAGACACTTTCACTGTAGGCCTTTGGAAAGAAGAAAGAGTATAGCTCACAGAGCAGCGGATACAGGGGGATTGATCTTTGAGAGCAAACGCTATGCTTCATAGTGAGAGTGAGATTAAGAGCCCAGTCTGTCCGGTGAGTCAGGTTTATCAGTCTCTGTTATTGCAGGTGCAAACACAGTGGGCTTTCTTATAATGTATAGCGAGCATCCCAGTACTGCAGACAATCATTGTTGCCAGCATCCCAGAGTAGCAGTGTTTACATTTTTTTTTAGCTCAAAAAGTCCTTCATGCAGAGTCATAGTTCTCCATTTCTTCAGATCTCTCATCCTCTGAGAAAAGCCCACACTGTATCTCCATCCTCTCACCCTCAAAGAGCGTTCAGCCAGGGCTCTTTATCCGTAGACTCAGCATGCGATGCCGCACTGGTTCTGCATCATGCAGATCCTGCAGCTAGAAAGACATGCTTTTGGATGGGATTTTCCCAGCCACCTCCCTGCAGTATCTATGACTGCTTTCATGCTGTCTGCCAGGGTTTATGGCAAAGCACACAATTGGAAAGGCTGAGCTCAGCTCTGCTTCCTTGCTAGATCTCTGCTTAACACAACAACTGCTCTCCGTCCCATGCCTTCTCATCATAGATAATAAGGCTGTAAGGATGTCGATGAATCAAGGCCACAGTATTTGAGGCATCTATTGGTTTTTCAGTAACTATAAAGATGAAATGATTCTTCCTGTGTCCTAATTGTTGGACCACTTTACATCTTTGTGGATGAACAACTTTCATTAATGTTTCTTTGAAGAAACCGAGGAAGTGTGAAGCACTTAAGCAAACAAAGCTTAGGCTTAGAAGCTGGGCTGTTTAATTTTGATGGTCGGTGTCACTGGACTAAGGAAACTTTTTGATTGGTGAAGCACACCTTACAGTGTGTCTATAGGGGCTCCCCAAGAATGGTTGACTAGCCTGATGTAATGAACTAGTGTCTTGATGGCATTATGGAGAAGGGGTGAAATGTAGGTGACGGGATTAAAGGAAGTGGGTCACTAGGGTTTGTGTTCTTGGTGTTAGATCTTGCTTTGGCTTCTCCTATGGTGTCTTTTCTCTGTAAGGAGATATCAAGTTTTTTTTTTTTTTCTGCAAAGTCTTGTCTTCCTTCCTATTCTGGACTGACATCACTGAAACCGTGATCCAAAACAAATCCTTTCTTGCAAAATTTGGTTCTGTCTGGCATTTGGTTACTCAAAATAAGAAAAGTAATTAGTACAGCAGTTTGCACTGCCAAAATTCAGAACATGGATGAACACTTGCTCAGTATCTCCTGTTGTTGTATTTTGTTCTTTTACAGACCCATGCAAATGCAATAACAGTGATAACATTAAAGGTCAGATAGATTATTGGTATGTTGCTGAGTCCAGAATTTCTGAAAAATCTTTTCCAAAATTATATAATGAGTCAGTCACTGTTTTTTTATAGTGATATAA